TCTACGTAGAGCTGGAAACAGCCAGTTTCTTCAAATGGTCCATGAAGACCTGCAGGCTGACGTCATCGGTGAGGATCGGGGATCCTGTCTCCTGCGGGCACACAGCAAAGACAAAAATAGTGGTTGAGTGACATGACCATTTTAATGAACCAAACAGGTTTATCATTAACATAAGCTTATATAAGCTTTCATCCTCTTGGTAACCTCATTCTTAACTGCCATAGAGGTATTTGCAGAATTTCAAAGAATAGGATCTCTAAAGTCAAAACTTTACCTGTCCCCAGGTGTAGAGGCTGTTGTGGGTCTGTGACGGGTTGACCTTGGAGAGCAGGAAGCGAGCTTGTGAGCCTCCATGCTCTGTGTCAATGTAGCGTGGCATTGGGAAACGTGCATGCAGGAGCTCTTGGGCATCATCCAAAGGAGCCTGCAGTAGCTGTTTGAAGTTCTCATACTCTGCCATTTTCTGGTAGCCTGCCTTTCGCCACTGTGAAATAGTCTGGAAATTAAGAAGATAGTGACAGCATTAGGAAATGCTTCCTCATGTCATCAAATGTGGTGTTTAGGCACAAAAGAGAAACAGGAAATAAGATTTTACAAACAGCTAATATATGAACTTTTGAGAATGAAGTTTTTAAATAGATATTTATCAACTGACTAGCATCCCTAGCCAGTGCTCTATTTGTCTCACCTCTCCATGGTAGATCACCAGCTGGAAGAAAGTGTCCATCAGCAGGATTCGATCTGGTAAGATACTGCTGCTGTCCAGGAGCACAGGCTGTGAAGAGCAGACGCATTCGGGATACATTTCAGTACAATTCAGCAGCAAAAACAGGAGTACTGAAAAATGCCAGATGCTTTTTAAAGCTAATGGCACTCCTCTAGTGCAGATAGTAACTGTGTGGAGGGAGTGGGGCTGACCTCTGGTGGTCCATGGAAGGAGTACGAGTAGAGGATGGGCTGGATCATGATCAGGGATTGGGTCAGGTCCTGCCTGACAAAGTGGTGCCTGTAATAGGATGACTCATCTGGGCTGTTGTTGAACACTTGCAGGAAGGGCGACCGCCGCAGGTGGAACATAAACTGCAGGCAGACGAGAGAAAAATTAAAAACACAAAAGATTTAAAATGAATGTGATCAAAAACCTGCCACAGGATTTGGAAAACCAGACAGTACATTACATTTTTATCAAATTGATACAGACTCCAAAACACAATTTCGTAATGCCGTCACAGATTCACAGTCATGTATGCCACTAGGGGGCAGGTTTACCTGTGGGTAGAGGGACAGAGACTCTGACAGTCTGAATGACGCAGGATCATCTTTATTGAACTGGCCAAACTTCTGACACTGCAACCAAGGGAGACAAAATATTGTTTACATACCGAACATTCCGTATTATAAATTCTGCACCAACTTGTGCGCAACAGCAGTTGCACAATACGTGAACATTAAGAGAATGCCTCAACTAATTATACTACACAATCTTAATAATGCCAAATATGTATTGTTCCGCCCCTCACAAACCGCAGGCAGGGAGTGGTTTATGCGTGGGAGTATCACTAACCAGGCGGATAAGCTGCCTATCGAGCCATCGCAGGACATCTGGTCCCTCCTCGGACTCGGCTCTGAAGACTCCCAGACGAGCCATGAGCACAGCGGCTGCTTCCTGGTCAAATGAGGACTCGATGTGCTGAATTTGGGTCTGTGCATCTGCCCAGCTGGGGTAAGGACAGAAATACAGAGGAAGAAGAAGAGAGGTAGGAAAGCAGGAGAGGAAAAAACAAAAAGGTACAGGTGAGCATGGGTGTGGTGCGAATGACGCACATGCACACCTGTCTCTGAATAGCAGGAACATAAACATCCTTTCTAATGAGGCCGATATTGATTCTAGCTGTCACTTTCTTGACTAAATGCCAAGCTTGTTATAACACAAACTAGGTGGAGGTGCAGCAAGTGAATACTCCCTCCTCATGAAGCTTGGCAATCGGTTTAAAACAGAATCAAGTACACTATAAAATACAGTCTTGCAACAATAAAACCAGAATCTTACTTCCTGGCGATGGTGGTGACCCGTATCCTCCTCTGGGTGTTGGAGTGCTGGTACTGGGTTACAAACTGGACCGCCCCTCGGCCACCCTGGGGAATGGGTGCATTGTGCTACACACACACACACACACAAAACAGCAGTATCAGTTAGACTATAGCTGACAACATTTTCCTCAATCACAATCATTCACTTGTTTGATGTGTCTAGCAACTGTACTTTCATCAGTATACATCGTGTCAAGGCTCAAATAGTTTTTTTTACCTGATTCACCACCTCAAAATAAATGCCCAAAGTAGTGGACGGGGTGAGACTGCACACTTTCCACTGGTTCGTGCCACCGACACCCATCTCCTACACAAAACAGAAGAAGACTTCCGATAAATAACAGCTCTCAGATTACTACTGTTACTGTGAGGTTGAAGCATCTGAATTTCCCAGTTTAATCTGGAGCAGTGACTCACATTCTCTGAAACACAGGAACCTTTTGAGTTGAGTGAAACGCACGGTCCAATGGCCCCACAAACCTTCAGCTCCCTTGATGTCTACAAACAAAAAGAAAGTCCAGACATAAATTCAACTTCAACAACTCATACCTTCAGATTTACATTACAACCACAAACACAGCAAATGGTGGCATTTATTGTGACTCCAAAGACTAAACTTGTTTACCTTGACCTCCAGGACACCTCCAAAGGCCATGCGGAAGTCTCCGTTGTAGTCTTTACTGAAGACCCTTTGGAAGGTTTGCTTGAACAGGGACGTGTTGAAGGAGTCTCCCATCACAATGTGTCCCCTGGTTACAGAGCACAACAATATGTTAAGAAGGCAAATTCTACTTAAAGGGACAGACAAATATAATACCACACCCTCAACCAATTAAACAATAAGTACAGACATACCCAGTGAGAGTGGATAAGCATTTCATCTCCAGCAATCCAGACTGGTCCAGGGCACAGGCGTAGATATCAATACTGTGGCCATTGACAGCTGAGCGGTTGGCCAAGGCCTCATAGTACTGTGTGTCACAAAAAACAGACAAAAGTCATGAAACAAGAGTACAACTACATGCTCAGAGTACATAGGGGTAGAAAATTGATATGACTGTTAGTAAAATGTCCTTAAGAAATTTAGTTTTCACACAAACACCAGTACAATATGGTAGCTGACATCTGAACGAGAGGATTCACACATTTGCTCACCTTGGTGGCTTTCTTCAGATGGCGAGCGTTGTCCTTCTGGATGTCGTGCCAGGAGCGGATGGGGGTTTTCAGTTCGTCTCCCACCACCATGCCTGGGCCCTGGGTGGGGGGCCCTCCGATGAACAGCATCACACGAGCCCCTGTGTTGGGGAACGAGCCCTGAGGGTGAGGAGAAGAGAAACTGGGTTTCAGTCAAAAGTTAGTACCGTTGTACCTGGTCTGAAACAACATAGCACTATAATGATTTTTAATACTATAACTAGGGGATGGTCTTATTAAGATAGTCTCAGTAAACCCTAAGAAAGCCTTTTAAAGGCAAGAAAAAAGCTGACATGTTTGATAACACCAAATACAGACAGATGTTTTATTTGCTCACATATAATCTAATTGCAAAACATATGCATTATTTTATTCAGTCATTTGAAAGGATTTTCCATCCTAACACAGTGAACTAGAAAAACAGAAATCCATCTCAACTGAATTTATGTATCAAGTATAACAATGAATGAGTCTTTAGGCAATCAGTTTCAGCAAAGGGCAAACATCACAGCCAACACTTCAAACAAAGTCCAAAGTCCAGGACTCTGGGAAAATCCGAGAAACAGTGATACACGTGGCCACATAGTCACCAAGCTGCTAGAATGAGCTTGTACTAAAATGTGACCCATTTGATACCAAGTTTTATGTAAACACTGATTCATTTATAAAAGTGACAAAGTGTTCTCATTCACAGAATATTAAACAAATAAGCCAATTGATAGTGGATGCCAACAGTTTTCTGGGGAACTATTCATCAAGTCAAATACCTCTCAACAAATCAGTGAAACTGAAGCCAGATTTATTCTAATCAGGCCTCATCTCCTCTATGCTGAAGGACAGCGTATCGAGGGGAATGATTTGTTTCAGTTATGTAACCTCGTAGATTAGCAGTAGGAAGTGCACATACTGTTCCTGCAGAAATGTTTCACAACAGTAACATGTGGCAGGATCGTCTTAAAGAGGCTAAAGTTCAGGTCATTGTGAAGCATCTCAATGAATGACTGTAAACTCATTTGTAGATTGAGCATATGTACACACAGTGTGCCTGGTTGGGTTTGAGGATAATTCTGTGGACCTACACCACACGTGTATAACGGTATTATCTATGTGTTTGTCTGTAATACCTCCAGCAGCCCAACAGCGACAGACAGAGCAACACCAGTGGAGCGGAGGGGCCGTTTGCCCTGAGGGACAGGCCAGGGATCTCGCTGAAGCTCACCCAGCAAGTCTGTCAGATTCATATCGACTCTGTGCACAGGCTGAAGGAACCTGAATATGAACACACATACACCATATTTTTAAAAGAAAAAAAAAAACTTTTCAACATCTGGAAACAGCTACTGAGTCCTCCATACCTGCAGAAGGCTGCAGCGTCCTGAGGGACCAGTGGGCGACCTTGCTGCCCCAATGGTGCTGAATTTGTTAGACCCAGCATCTCCTAAACACACACAAAAACCCACACACATTATTAAGTTGAACAGAGAAATTTTATGTCAGTTAATTTTTTCTTTTTTTTTCTTTCATTAACCATAATTTTTCTGAGACAACCTGAAGGTGACTTAGAATAGTCATTCAAATCCAACCAAACTAAATGGAATCTGTTCTCTCTTGGTGTAATAATAGCTTGTCTCTAAACATCCACATTATTTTCCCATTCCTCTGATTGTTGATGCCTTTGCCCCCTACCCACCTGGATCTGTTTGGAGGAAAGGTCTTTGGTGCCCCTGAACACGTAGCTCTTGGCAATCCCTTCGCAGCTGAGCTCGTGAACCTGGACCATGCGTCCAAAAGTGATGAGGCCCACCAGGGCATTTGGGGGCAGCAGGCTGAGGGACATCTGCAGGGACTCCTTCAGGGCCTGGAGGTCCTCCTCTTCCAAACACGTGTCCACCACATAGAGGAAGATCAGAGGAGTAGGGGGTCCATGCTGTAAAGAGGTGGGAGGGGAAGGTTACAGGGTGGTCACATCATAGGGCTTGTCTTCACACACTTTATCATATATACTGGCACGTCTAATTTATTGTCTTATTCTTTTCTGCAAAAATATGCTTTGATATAAAGAAATGGAGAAAGACATGCTAAAGTCACAGTGCAGACATATATAGTATTTACCTGTACTATGTACTCAATGGTAGAAAACTGTGGCATGAGTTCAGCTGGCTGGTTCACTTCTGATATGCCCGCATAAGAGGGAGGGAACTGGAATGACAAAGAGGGGAAGATTAACCAACCCAATAAAGAAATGTAGTTAGTTCACATTTAGTTATTCAGGCTTATATAAGTTACAGCAAACCAGTAATATTAACATAAAACATCAGGAGTAAACCATCCTGTGAACACCAGTACTTACTGGGTTTCTCTGAAAGCAGAAGTTGCATGCCCATATTTTTGCTCTGAAGTCAACTTGACTGCAAAAGAAGAATTAAAACAATTTAGGATTTGCATCAGTTGGCAGGAGTGTAAAACTGTGTAACAGTGTAATCGACTGCAGGCTGTGTCTACGGTTTTCAAATGTCACACCCGGTACTTATAACACCTCAGCATTTGGAAATGCTAATACACTGAACACACAAACAAATGCAAATACTTGAAGCTCCCTTTCATTCACTTTTACTTTGGTTAATGAAAAGCTGCAATGAAGAAATGTCAAGAACAGAGGTGCAGTGGACAGCTGCACAGATTATTTAAGCAAAAAGAAGTCAAATAATAAAACCAAATAAAGGCTGAAAAAACAAATGCTTGTTTTCTTCACCATTCAAATGTACACATCTGAGAGCCTGATCAACTCACCATAACGGGTTGAGCACTGCCTTGCAGTTGGCCCGGCTGCACAGCACTGGTTCATACTGGACTGGTGGCAGGTCAGGCCTCTCCTTGAGGGGTGTGAAGAGGCAGGAGACGGGGACCACTAGCCTGGTGGCCTCCAGACGACTGGAGGGCCAGAAGTTCCAGCTAAATCTCACCCCATCCCTGTCTTCGTTCTGTTGGATGAACTCCTGGTAGGTCGCCATCACCAAGCTAAAGCAAGAAAGAGTCCAACACACTCCAGTGAGATGGCTGGCTCGACAAAAAAAACTAAGTCCGAGTGACACTAGCAGTCCACACTTGTTGCTGCTTCTGTTTGTCTAACACTGGCTGGAGGGAACACCTGCTCTTTATACAGGCACTCCTTTCTTTTGCTAAAAAAGGACCTAGATTTTGACGCACTGACGTGTCATTAGAAAACCTGATCAACGTGTTCTGATGAACTAGAGAACACTGCAGAGGAATCCTAAAAGTATTTTTAGACTCCAACTTTGCTGGCATATGTCAGTGAAACATAATTGACGCCATTAGCAAAGCGTCACTAAAAATCTTGTTGTAGCAACTGTTTATCATTACAGATGGATTACATGAATAATTTGTGCAAGATGAGGAACACAAAAGTTGCAATCTTTTATAATTATCTGGGAGTAAGATTTGCAATGATGCAAAGGTTTGTGATGGAAATGTTCCATCTTCATATATTATTTTGTGTGCTCAGCTGTTCATGATGCAAAGACATTATTTTTTGTTCCAAATTGTGGATTTATATCAAGTAAATACATACATAAGAAAATCACTCATTGCAGGTGGCAGATCCATTTCTCAGTAGCTAAACATACCTATGCCAAAAACTATACAGTAAATGTAACTAGGGTGATGGCGGGATCTAATTAGAGTTGAAAAGTAATGGATTATTTTGATAAATGACAGCCTATGTCATTTATCAATAAAAAATAAACAGCCTCTTCTAGCTTCCTCAGCAATGTTGCTTCTTGTCTATGTCTTTTGACATATAAATGCAGAATATTTGCAGATTTTGGATTGTTGGTCAAACAAAACGAGCATTTTGAGGGCATCACATCAAGAAGTCAAATAGATAATAAAAAACGATCTTCACTTTCCTTAGATACAATGTTTTCTTAGGAGACTAAATGTGACCATTATGGGTTGCAGGGCAGATGTTATTTGAGGCTATTTTGTATATGAACTCCCCCTTTCATCCTGTGTGGAAAAACGTGGAAACCTTGCAAATTATATTTAACCTTAGCAAGAACACAGTATTACCGGTAGGTTATTCTATAACAGAGGCCACGTATCTTCACCGATGAACCCACCAGTAAAGGTTGGTATATCTGTCTTGAACTGCACTCAGCAGTTCAAGTTTCTCAAGTTTCAATCAATATATTCAGCTTTTCAATCAATATTTTCATTCCATTTATTTCCTGAACGGCTGGCCATAGCTGAACGCCTGCGTTAGCTAACGAAATATAGGCTGGCCATAGCTCAACGCCTGCGTTAGCTAACGAAATATAGCATTTGCCCACTTCCTGTCGCTTTATAAATGGAATCAGAAACAAGACGGCCTACTTTCGAAAAAAAGTCGTACGTACCTTTGATATTAAGTTGAACTCGGGTCTAAACAAGGAATAATAAATACGTTCTGTTCAAAACAAATTATAGCATGTGCATGTGAATGTCGACGGATGTAGACAGAAGGGCGATCGCTCGTCAGCAGCCGGCTTCTGCGCTTTACTAGACTGACGTGTTACTCCAAGCTCAGATGTGTTCCTAGTGGCGCTTCCTTCATGACGTCACTGGGGCGTCTATTAGCGTCTTCTGAGTACGCACAAGAACGGGGTGTGTATGGGAAATGAAGTCTACAATATATTGGCCTCCACTCTGCCGTACGGGAGTTGCAGTAGCATCTTATTATTCTCGAATGAACATGAGATTAGTGGAATTACGACTGTTTTTATTCCGTCCCAATATTTAGTTAGGCCTACTGATAGGGTAAAAGAGGTAGGCCAACAATTTTGATGTAATCCACTTCAGATGAATATTTCCATTGTATGATACTTTGTGCTTCTACAGAAGGAACTACCCTGCCCCCTACTTTACATTTTTCTGAAAGTTGAGAAAGATGTTTGACTTTTATCTGGACGCTTGTCAGTGTCGAAACCGCTTAATGTAGCCAAGGCTTTGTAGTTGTGTATTGGGATTTCAGTGACCAACGATGAAATATGGTTAGGCAATAGTACGGTATTATGGTATCCCGGGATATTTTAAAACAACGACAGTACTCTATTAATTACGTTTATGCAAAAAGTGCTTTGCAATGTGTGCTGTTTATAATAAATGCCTGAAGAGTGTGTGTCAATGTCCAGCAATGACCTGCCTATGTTTGATGATGCTTTAACAGAACCCCTGTAAATGGCGTAAACCCAATTTATCAAATAAAGAACCTGTCAAAAAAGAATAAAAGTAGAAATAAACACTATTATTAGACGGTCTAATACTCACATCTTATTAGACCGCCTAATTATAGTGTTGACTGCTCCGCCGTGTTGAATGTTGGGTAAACGCGCAATGTTGGAAGGATTATACTCATTATTTACCATGCATGCATCTATATGTTAATAAAACACACTATTCCATGTAGCTACATACGGTAGTGGATACTGCAACTACAGTATATATTACCCACTTCCTGTCGCTTTATAAATGGAATCAGAAACAGGGTGGCCTACTTTCGAAATTAAGTCATGCTTAATTAACAGACTTAATTAAGAGACTCAACACCTGAGTGGACGTATAAGTGTTGAGACTGAGCATAGAGAGGACAGAAATCCATTCATCTGCAGTGTTTGTGTCATATTCCGCCAGCTGTTACCTAGCAGTCATTTTTTAGTCTGATGCTCTCGTGGACGGGATCTCTTGGTCCGCTATGAGTTAGTTTCAGCCAACTAATATGGGGGTAATACTGTAGCTAAATTATTTACAATATTACCTCCATAGCTAAGGTTGTCCATTCTGGATTACCACAGTCAGTAAAGTGAGATATAAATGATTTAAGCAAGTTTGTAGCTAAACAAAACAAAAAATTGCATGTAGTGATAACACAGCATTACAATTCTGAGCACTAGATGGCGAGATAACCAAGGTACATTTTTGCTGCACAAACCCCTGGGGAGAGAGAGAGAGAGAGCTAGAGGGAGGCAGAGAGAGGGAGAGAGGAGGGAGGCGAGAGCCTGTTCCCCCTCTCTCTCTCTGTGTGTTTCTGTCGTGCACAGCAGCAGACTGTCCTCTTTCTCGCAGTGGGCTGATCCTACAGGCGGCAGGTGTGTGCACCCACTTTGACTACATTTGCGACTGATTTTTGGATACTAAGCTGAGACCATATCTCACACTGCAAGAAGGCTGCACAGAGTGCATCTCGGCTGCGAGGATGTCGCAGTGATAGACATCAGAGCATCCTCTTCACTGTATCGCACTCAGCCGGCATCGTCAGCTGTTGCTCGAGGAGAGAGTGGAAGTGTCGGAAGCAACAGAAAAGGCCAAACTATGCGACCGATTTCCAAACGGTGACCGTTTTCTAGCCTAAGTCGACCGGGCACCGGATGCGAGCAGAGGTTGTCAACGAGCCTCTGACTATTTTCTGCCCTTTGTCGGTGCCGGAGGAGCTGTGCCAATGGAGAAAGCGACTCCGCCGCCCCAGCCTCAGCTCCAGCTGTCGATAGCGAAGACTGAAAGTCCGGCGGAGGATATCTCCGGTCTGACTGACGAGGAGCTGCTCAAGTGGACCAAAGAGGATTTGGTTCGGCGCCTGCGGCGGTCTGAGGCCGACAAGATGAGCGTGATTCTGGACCACGGGAATCTCATCCGAGAGGTCAATCGCAGCCTCCAGCTGCACTTGAACGAGATCAGGGGGCTGAAGGTGAGGGGGCGCGCACTGGTGAAGGATGAGATCATAGGTTTGGAGCGCACCTGAGAACGCGCATAGCAGGAGGGATGTTCTGCTGTTTAGAGAGCGCCTCTGCAAACGTGGTGCGAGAATAGATGCTGTCTTGAAGTTCACTGTCCCATATAGTGTAGGCCTGTAGCTCCAGTCCTCATAAGGCTTGATGTAAGGCAGGCTGATAGCTTTGCTTTAACTTTTGCTTTGGAGGTGGGACATTCGGGCTTTTCAAAATAAGGAAAAGTTTTTATAGGCAAGGCAATGCAACTTTATATAGCACATTTCATACACAGAGGTAATTCAAAGTGCTTTACAGAGGTGAGGAAAACAGTAACAGCATTACAAGCAATGAGCAGAAATACTTGTGACTAAAACCAATGTCAAAATGTGGCTCTAGGCCTACAAGTCAGCTTATAAAACACAGATCAAATAAAAGTAGAAACAGGGTTAGGCTGCACCCTTTTGCAGGGCATGTCCTTCACTAAATCTACTGCTCTGATCATATGCCAGCTCTCAAATCTGGCATACAGACCTCTGTCTATACCTTGCATTCCAAAGAAACCACTGCACATAAATTTATTGTGCAGTTGCAGTACAGTTTTCCTCAAGAACAATGTGGCAAGGCATGCTCTTTTTCAGTAACCTTTACTCATTATCTTAATTTTCTGCACCAGTAATAAGAGGAATATGACACGGTGTTTACGGTTAAAGTTGAGACCCAGCCTGAGGTAGCCTCAGATGAAGCACATGGAGACCATCTGATTTCTTGGAGACCTCCTCACCTCTCCACCCATCCAAGTTGCCTAGTTACACAGGAAAGAGCTAGAAGCTAAGAAAAGGTGGTCCGGGGAGGATAGGGGACAGTTAAATCATTACACAATGATAGAGGAGGAAAGAGGGAGCAAAGGTACAGTATATTTACTCCCCAACCCAATCCTTTTTTGTGTGTCTGGCCTCTGCATTTCCTGCAGCACATTCTAATCTACATTATGTAGCCTAGTTCACATTGAATGGTACACAGTGAGCTGGTACTTTTATGGGAAAGACAGTCAGGATTAGGATTTCATTTCATTATGACTGCATACTGCATTTGATATCTAAAAGAGCAGTGAAGTGGATTGGAACCAGAAAGTGTTTGCAGTGATTTATTTTGGAACACATTTAATATACACAACTATTATGTTTTGTACAAAACCAAAAGCAAATTTGGGGGCTTCCTACACTGATCAGCATTGTTTTAATTTATGTTGTTTCCTAATGCCCAGGTGAATTCATCTTTCTTTTCCTCTTGTTTTCCTTTCTTCTCCTCTCAGGACATTAACCAGAAGCTGCAGGAGGACAACCGTGAGCTGCGGGACTTGTGCTGCTTCCTTGATGACGACCGCCAGAAAGGAAAACGTGTGTCTAGAGAGTGGCAGCGCTTGGGACGATACAGCGCCAGCATCATGCGTAAAGAGGTGACCCTCTATCTCCAGAAACTGAAGGAGCTGGAGCTTCGACAGGAGGATGTAATGCGGGAGAACCTGGAGCTGAAGGAGCTCTGCCTGCTGCTGGATGAGGAGAAAGGGGTGGTAGGTGGAGGAGGTGGAAGTGGAGGGGGCGTTGGGATGGGAGGGTGCCGCAACTCCATTGACAGCCAGAATAGTTTGCTGCTTGTGCCAGGGCAGGGGCTCCTAATGAGGGACATGGGGGATGGGAGCAGCACCTCCAGCGCAGGGAGCGCTGATAGCTCCGATGCCCCGCATCATAAGCAGCCTCACCTGACTGTAGGAGTGGGTGGAGTTGGCAGTGCTGGGGAAAAAGGGAGCCCCGAGCTTGTCCATAAACCCAGGTGTAGCAGCATCAGTGGCATAGGAGGAGGAAGTGGAGGAGACAGGGAAGTGTCCAGCCCTGATCATCCAGCTGGACGCCACCGGAGTACAAGCCTGGAGTATCCCTACACCCTGCCTCAGCTCTGCCGACCCCGCTGTGGCTCCTTATCTGTGCCTGATCATAGTCGACCTATGCGGGGCCTCAGCCCAGAAAAGTACAGCAGGGATGGGGGCAGAGGCAG